GTCTGCAGCTCTCCGGGCAGATGGCGTCTCTCCATGTCTGATGTTTCAGGGACAGCGGCTCAGATGCTCACAAGTCGCTTTGTCTCTGCGTGTATCCTCACATGACTCAACGAATCCTGAGAAGCTCAGTGCTCCCATGGCCTTATCTGCTCTCATTGATGACATGTAAAAATTCAATTATAAAGGAACATCGAGGATAAAGGAGGAAAAAGACGATTATATTACAAAGTGGTTATATAACAACAGTAGGCAAGAAAAACACAAGATCGGACAGGAATTAGCAGCAGAGTTTTTACTGCGGTTGCCATTTTTCCTTTAATTAGTCTGAAAAAACTTGAACGTTGTTTAATAGATATGACCTGCTTTTGGTGTCATCAGTGCAGAAAAAATGTGGTAGATTCGAACCGTAAAGAGAGACCCAGAGGGAGAAATAAGAGGCAAAGATACATCAGGTAAAACACATGAAAATGTTTTTAAAAATAACCTTTAGCATCAAATGAAAACACACAGGCATCATACGTATATCATACTTCTACAGTTTAATTAGCTGCAGAATAAATATTCACAAACCTGTTTAGAAACCAAAGGAAATAATCAAACCAGTTTTTGGAGACTTTATTGTTGACAAAATCGGGAGAGATGTCAGGGTATGTTTGGAGCATAGGACCTCGACACATGGGGTTTGGACAAGCAGAGTAAATATAGGGACCGATTTTCCATATTTGCAGGTGAATTTACCAGGAGAAACTCTTTTCAAAGATTTTCATTTTGACATTTGAATCCACACACCAGCACTGATATGGAGTCACAGGCAGGGAGCAGGTGTCAGAAAGTTGCTGAGCTGAAAAGAGACTACAGCTACAGCACAATATGATTTTTTTGAGTCAAAACTCAAAGTGATGGAGGTGTAAAGTAAACTACACAATCAAAGTTCCTTACCGGTACTTTTTTCTTTTTCTTTCTTTCTTTCTTGACACTTTGGACCCAGTTATGTAGTTGTTCCACCTGCTAGTCATTTTTAAGCTTGTGGAGCCATTTGTCTGAGTTGGTTGTAGTCTGAAGTCAATATTTTGGCTAAATGTTACATCAAGAGGGCTTTATGTGTAACAAACTGGATGTTATGAGAGTCATACATTTACAATTAAAACAAAGCATCTTAAGCAACAGTTGGGCTCACATCAACTGTAACACTGGCATCTTTAATGGAATGAGCCGATTGTGTTTGAGTGAAAAAAGAAAAAGAAAAGAAAGCTGATCTCAGTGTTACAAAAGTATTGTGTATAGTCAGGATCACAAATAAAACCACTGCATTAAACAACAACCCTTCCATTTTTTTTCTGTATTTGGGATAATGATTACATTTTGAGAACTTGGACAAGAACAGGACAGATGAAACACTTGGAAAAAGCTGAAGCCATAAACCAACGTGAAAGCCAACATATCCCAGGTGTTCATGTGGGGTTTATGACGATGTTGTTGTTGTTGTTGTTTTGTAAAACAGTAAATTTAAAAAATCTTTTGAAAACAATAATAATTAATATGCATTTTTTGTCTTAATATTTCAGTTTGTCTAGCTCTAGAGACAGTCACTCCTGTGTAATAAGACTTGAATCATCACAAAAAGGAATAAAGGGCCATTGTATTAAAAAATAGTATTTTATGTCTTCACTGCACCTCTTAGACTTTGTAAAGCCATGGGCAGACTTTGACCCTTTGACATGCCA